CGCCAGATCGCAGACTGGCACAAACTCAAGGAGTAAACCAACAACCACACCTTAAACCCTGTCTCCCCTCACATTTAGACCTATAACAGTAGAAATAACTAATAGAACAACGGTTATAACGACCCCAAACTGTACATCTTAGATAACAATTTTGACAGTCCATGTCTTAATAGATTTTAACCATCCAATGAGACCGACTAGTAACAAATAACATCTCAGTCATAGATGCAGTCTTTTGGACTACAAATAATATAACTTAAAAAAATACCCTTAAATCGGGTAAACACTACATAATAAAATTGTTATCTGTCATATCTTGCTTTATACCACAGTCCCATATATGTCCCTCGCATTCCTGTAGTTTTAACATCTAAATGTGCCCCAATAGACTACTGTTTGAACGCTTTATATAACGCTATTCAAACCACAAACCTGACAACACGCGGCGGCCGCGCCTTCGCAACACGCAGATTTTATTTATGTGCAAAAAATCGATAATATTCAAGTTTTTTTTGGACAAGAGTATAAACTAATTTATCTCTTAATTATGTATTTTGAAATATTCTGCAAATACATTAAAATATTTGACATTCTATAAATATGTTATTTGAAAAATATTAAATTATAAAGGAGATATAACCTAAAATTTTCTTTTCTTGTATAGAAATATGGTTAAGCCAAAATCAACAGGGAAGGAATTTGCTATATTTGGGGTGATAAGTATTATTCCAATTTATTAGGTAGATAATTTTGTTTATAATTTAATGAAATGCGAAATGCTATAAAACATAAATATAAACAACATAATGTTATATCGTTCATTTTATTTACATTTATTTCCATAATTGATGAATATTTTCATCGTAAAACGCACATTTGCTGATAAAGTCCATTGAAAACCTTATTTTTATCTTATTTATTATTTAATAATGAATTGTCTCGTTTGATTTAAAACACTATTTCAAATTACATATTCACGCTTCTTTCTTTTTGTACATTATATGTTTATTGTAAATATTTTGCTAATCTCAAATTATTTTTTTACAAGTATATGAATATTAGGTCTGGTAAAGTTATGTAATTTAGTCACACACGTTTATGTTATCTTATAATATAATGAAAATAATTAAATTAGTAACATATTTTATAATTATAATATATTCCCATTTAAAAAGATTAGATTACTTTCATTTATTTAATAAAATACGTTACATTATTCTCATTTTTCAGTTTTCAGGGATATGTATCGTTTACCCTGATTTGTGTAAATATTTTTTGATAAACAACGCAAGTGTAAAAGCGTTCTTGAAAGCACCAATGTAGAATGACGTATCTTATTTTAAACACTGCGTTTTTGTTTTATTTGTACACAATATCGAGCAAGGATTGTCTTTGATATAATTGAAATAAGTTTCAAGAATCACATAAAGTCATTTGCAGTTAAATACTCAAATAATATTAATTCCATTTCATATATTTCAATATATCTATAGGTAATAGGGTAGAAAGAAATCTATTTTATACTTATAGTAGTGATATATGGAGTTTATAAAGAAATTATTAGCTCATTTCACGATGAAGCTTTGTGCTTTTCACATTTAATTTTTAGTGTCGCATGTATAAAAATAGATGGCGCTTTTCTAAACCGTGGTTTATTTTGGAAATATGTCACAAATTCGATTAACAATTTCAATACATCGTTAAAGTATTTTGTATTTTTTTGCTTGAAATGTATAATTTGCTTTATTATGTACTAGGGACAATAAGAAGTATATTTAATTATTGTATCATTAGTAATAACACATAAAAACATTTTAATTGTATTGAAATTATGCGTTTACTTTAGTATAATATAAAATTATAAATGTCATCTATGTGTAAAGGAATTACAATCTCCATACTTTGACATTCCAAAAATTAATGTGTAAATAAACGCAATCATCGAGCGAATAAGAAATGCTCTACCATTTTAGTCGTCTATTTCGATCTCTTAATGTATTAAGTATCAAGTGTTATTGTTTTCAAAGAAAAGTTGTTTTTACGTTTATATTGTAGTTAACAAAAGTGGCATAGACAGTAGCGCGACCATAGACACCTAGCAGTGTTACCAGAATTACGTCAAAATTTTTGTCTATGGTTTAAAAATCAAATATTCTATACTTATATACCATAAATTCGTATTTACAGATACGCGAAAGATATTTATGCGATATTTTATGTTAAAAAAAAAGAATTTAATTCTTACATTCCAACGTTCATTGATATTTTTAAAATGTTTTAGTAGGAAGCATCAATAAGAGTTCCCACTAGTGTTGTCTCTGTTTTTACCAAATAAAATGAAAGAGATGCAATTTTGTTTTTATATGTGTATTTTGGCGATGGAAAAAATATTTGTACGTTCTATTTATTAGCTGTCATTTGTTTTCCTTCATAAATATCTTTGTAAGTCGTACCCCAGTTTCATTTAATTGTATATTTTCAACACATCAAAAATGTATACTAAGGGATTTTAGTGAATAAATTATTGACTGGTGCTTTCACAAAAAGTATTGTTTTATTTTAATGCCTTATTTCCTCAAAGATTTGCCTTAAAAATTGTGAGAGCCAAAATAGCGGGTGTACCATCGCGTTACGTAGCATATATAATTACGTTCTAGAGAAGGTACATTGTTTTAGCGAGGTACTAAATAGTACATTTTCGGTACATTTTTTTAGTAAGTGGTATAATTTAATTCGCGATGGTACATCCGCTATTTTGACTCTCACTTATAATTCTATAAAGCAGAATTGGTACCTCCTTCTTTTGGGAAGTCGGTCAAAAACTTTGTGTCATTAGGCAATATGCAAATAACGCCAAACTTGACCAAACTTTTCAAAAGTATTCTTTATTACTATAAAAACATACCTGTAAAGATTTTTTTAATATAATGAGATTTCGTGTCGAAATATAATGATTAAAAAGTGTGTTTTTTTGATTCCCTCGTTAAGTTCAAAAACGCAACGACCAACAGGGTCGAAACAAATGACTTATCTATTATGACGTGGCTGTGTTGTCGATACACAGTTCATTTACGTTATTTCATATAGAAATTCACTCTTGAAGTATTTTACGGCAAACACGATATCAAAACTAACTTTTAAATAAAAAATTAATGAAAAGAATAATTAATTACCACTTATTTGTACCAGGAATAATAAAAATAAATCGATTTTTGACTTTTAATAACTTTGAGAACCAATGAGATACCTTGTTGATTTTCTAAATTGACATCTGAGCGAATGTGATGAATGAAATGC